CGTATTTTCATTAATGGTCCATAAAACTATATATCTTCCTATTATTCCAAAATCAAAGGTGCAAGACTAGATAAAGTTATTTATATCATTTCTGCTAAGGGTCTTTCTAACTGTTTACGACAATTGCCTTCGTTTACAGATCGACGGGTACAGAATATGTACTTGGAGTTAACACAGGTAATTTCTATTGCTAATATATAGAACGTTTGTTCAGTATTTCAGTCTTAAATAAAATATTCTTTATTATCCCGGTGAAATGAATGAGGTCAGCCAGGTGTTTACCACAGGTCAACAAAATGGCGTATTTGTGCTTATACCCCCTGTGTCATCGGTTCCCAAATGCATAGATAAATGCTCATGCTGTTGATCACTGGAGTTCTGTCTCGATTATTTACATACCGCCGCCATATAGCTGGAATATTGCTGAGTGCGGTGTAAAACTAAACTCACTCTACTCATTTCCATCTTATCTCATACCTACTCCACAATGATGATTGTTATAGCCATGAAGTCCTTTTAATAGCATCATTATTTTACAAAATACTTCTGAATCTGATTGAAAAACAATTAATTAGAATAAATACTTAACCACAAGGGTCTAAATTGATGATGAACACAACCAGCATTACCCAGACATGTTACTTTCTTACTTTTTTAATGATGAAGATATCAGCAACAACGAAAACAATACATAATATATATTTTATGTATATATTATATGTCTTAGATGACGAAGATTTCATTGACTCTGGAACACCGACGGTGCTTTTCCGATCTAGCCATGTTTCAAATAGGATCGACCCAGCCACACCATCTACGTCGTCGTATAGCCCCATCGCAAGTTCATCGACCCAAGATCCTCCTGATACTGGATATTGTATAATAAAGAAAACATTATCGTAATTGGTGAGGCATATTTGCTGTTTAAAAATTAATTTCTAAAGATAAAGTGATCAACTGTTTGCCTTACATTTCTTCATTTCTTTTGTTTCCATAGAGATAAATCGGGATTGAGTAACCTCCTGTAATGAAATAACGAAAGCCTTGGTGGCTGGCATCCTCAGTGATGGCAATTAAGTGCTTAACTTTGAGGATGTTGGTTCGAATATTGCATGGGATCGATACTATTACAGGCAGCGTAATATCAACTTAGTTATAAATAACCATTATTCTTGTTTTCACAAGGCGTTCCAGAAAGGGGGGCGGCTGGATACATTTATTTTAAAATTCTATTTTTGTTTACTAATATTCTAGTAACAGTTTAAACCATAATTGAGAGGTAACGTAAATACAACATATCGGAATCATATCCACTTGTAGAGATGAGACTCAAGAAAGCATTCTCATTAAGCCTTCGGGTCCTAAAATCAACACAGAGGGACGGAAGAACATCATTAATGTGTCGAGGGATGACCTTCTATCTGGAGCCAAGCGTGGATTTCAAAGGGCATCCTTTAAAGAAGAAAGTCAGCTCAGTGTTAGATTTTCGGGCGAGAATGGGATTGACGATGGGGGGCCGTCCAGGGAAATCATGAGACTTGCTCTTCGAGAGCTCCGGGACTCCTGTATTTTCACAGGTCCACCTGACAGTCGGAACATCCAGGTTGATGTTGCAGGTATATGCCTTAACAACAAACCTTAATACAAAAATATAATACTTATATAAGTCTATAATATCTATATAAACAGCGAATCTGAAATGAAATATCTAAACACTTCCATTTAAATATTCTTGAATAAACAGAACAAAGACATATTTCGCCAGAAGAGATGTGTATGGTTCGATTAGTACCAAATTTTGTAGCATAGATAGGTAAAGGTGTCATGATTTGACACAGAGCATATAAAATCATTGCAATATTGAATCAAGACAAATACAGTGATCTTTAGTTTTGACTTTACGATGAAAACTGATAATGAACTCCAGTTGTATGGGTTTGGACAAGTCATGGATTGGAAAATCGGGCAATAACCTATTGTGATGCAGTTGTACTGCTATTGATCTCTAATCACTGATTTCATGTTCAACATATATTACTCCTTTTTTAAGTAAACTAGTCAGTTCTATATTTTTACAGCCGAGGAGAAAGGCAGGATATTTTATGGCAGGACGTATCATTGCTTACATCCTTATCCATGGCGGACCACTCCCTCGCTTCTTTTCTCCATAGACTTATTCCATGTTAATTGGAACACCAACAGTGTCACCTGATGACATTGATGACCCGGATTTAAAAGAAAAAGTGCAACGGGTAAAGAATACGATTAATTTTTGTCGTTGTAAATTGTTATTGATATACTGCATACGTCACATACAAAAATTAATAAAGACATGTTTGGATATATGTATGTATGTATGTATGTATGTATGTATGTATGTACGTATGTATGTATGCATGTATGTATGTATGTATGTATGTATGTATGTATGTATGTATATTGATTGTAAAAGGTTACGCAACCCCATAATTATCACTTTATGCCAATTTCACTGCTAACGCTTAATAACGACTCGCATATTGGTGTATCTCTATCAACCAATACTCCAAAGATACTAAACGTCATTACAAGACAAACTCCAGTCATTATGGTGTACTTTTAATTTGCATAATGTTGAAATGGTAAATTTGTAGGCAAATATAAATCTAACAAAATTTGGGCACACAGGAAAACTTTTATGTGTAAGGTGGGATATGTGAGTGTTCAACACAAACTGTAAGGTATGGACTGTTTGATGACACAGTTTTCACAAGTCAAAATTTACATAATGACCCTCAGTAATGGGTGTATAACCTCAGCTGTTTATCACCTCCTGACATCTTCGCCTTATAGAGAGCACTAGATTACGCATAAATCTCATTGGTAACTTGTTTAAAGCATTCAGTACAGCATTTCTAAGCTGTACCGAGGTCAGAGTTGGCCAGTAAGTTGGTCAGAGGTTGATCACACCGGTTTACTTGCCTACACGTCTCATCCCATGCATGCTCTGTCGGGTTGAGATTAGGACTCTGACTTGGCCAATGAAGGAACTCAATTATGTGCACTTGTTTGGCTTCCTGAACAACTATAGCGCGATGTGGGCGAGAATTGACATCTTGGTAAATGAATGTTGTGTCAGGTATGGCGTGAAGGAAAGGAATAACTGTCTTTTTGATAATCTCACTGTGATACTTTAACCCTGTCATTGTTCTTTGGACAACCTTGATGTCCACCTTCTCGTCATATGTGAATACAGCCCATACCATGATGGAGTCGCCGCCCTCAGCGACATTTGGAAGGACACACTCCATGATCAGGTTCAGCTTATGCTTGGTTGACACGTAAACAACCGTCGTACACACCTTGATGTGCAAGTTGTTGCGTGACTCATCCGTCCAAATTAGTCGTCGCTAAGTTCGAATGTTCCAGTTTTGACGTTGTCTATCCGTGTGGTCTGTCCTGCATATGCCTAGGTGTCAGACGTGGGCGTTTGATTGGTCTTCGAGCCCTTAATCCAACTGCCACAAGACGTTTAATCACTAACTCACGTAACACGTTGACGCCTGTTGATTGTGTCCATTCTTGGCATAACTGGTAAGCTGAACGAAAAGGATTACCGTTCGCCATTCTAACCAAACGACGATCGTCACATGAACTGGTCTTCCTAGGTTCGACCATGACGAGGTCTGTCCTTCACATCACCCAATGTTTGGATAACAATCTGCTGATCACCGACTTAATGTGCTCTGAAATTTGTCTTAGGTGCAAGTCGGCAGTACCTTCGCGGATTTCACTATCCACGTGCAGCATGATATCTGGTATCATTCTGTTGGGTGTGTTTGAGTGAAGTGTCTATGTATCTTTTAATGTGCAAACACATTGGGTACAAATGTAATCACCTACGAAGAATCAACATGAACATTGCTTAACTAAAGTCTTTTTACCAGCTGTATATAATGTGAAAGCTCTTATTTTAGATAGCGGATGCCACGGATGAAGCAGGATTTTTGGAGGCGTTGGTATGTGTGCAGGACATAGTGGATTTCATAGGTGCCCTGTCCTTGTCAAGATATGTAAAACAGAAGGAACTTGTGCAGGCATTGACAACGCATATCGTTGTAAAGAGAAAACGGGACGTGATTGAACAGTAAGCAACGAGTAGTGTCTTGTCTTATTATTTATTTGCCAGTGTTCTATCAGTTAAATACACAGAAGTAGACACCGTGGATATAACTTGTTATAATGACTAGTCAAGCCACGTAACAATGTCACCACGGTATCAGTACAAACTTTATGACGTCACACTGTAACTCGAGCTGCAGTTTCGGAATGAACAGAAACACTACTAAATTGATTCCGTTTCCTAAAGAACATGAATATTATGTCATACACACCATATTTGTCTTTTGTAGATAAATACCATATCTATCTCATAAAGTAAGTTTGCTAATTTTCATGTTTGGGCCCTGTACTGATGATGTGACATCCTAGTTTGCACAAATAAGTCTTTTGCGATTTGTTACCAAAAGAGAATTTGTTTTATTATGGTGGACGACAGAGGGGTTTGTAATCTCCTGATCACTCTTATTTTATATTGTTTGAATGTGTGTAGGTTCAAGGATGGACTTCGCACCCTTGATGTACTTAACCAGATGGAAAAGTACCCAAGAACAATGAAAGGTTTCTTCACTGCAACAGACAGACCTGAAGTTGATGCAGTGCAAGTGGACAGTCTGTTTACTGTCATCTTCAGTGAACCTGGCAGCAATCATTTCCAACAGGAATTGAAAACACAGGTTCACTGGAGAGATTTTCTGCAAGATTTAGAAGGTTCGTGCAGCTGTAGCCACTTGTTGCAACGTTTTGTGAAATAATATATATAATAAATATATATATATTAATAATATTATATATAATGGCAGCAATACCCACACACTGACTGAGTTTAGTTTTACGCCGCTTTTAGCAATATTCCAGCAATATCACGGCGGGGGGACACCAGAAATGGGCTTAACACACTGTGCCCATGTGGGGAATCGAACCCGGGCCTTCGGCGTGACGAGCCAACGCTTTAACCACTAGGCTACCCCACCGCCCCAATACACACACACACACACACACACACACACACACACACACACATATACCTACATACCTACATACTCTTAATTGTTTGTTTTATTGGATAATTCATACCAAATGGGAAGAATCATTAAAACTATTTCTTCAATAATATTAATAGAACTGGGAATTAAATTAATTAACATTGGCATATAGATTCTCAACAAACACGATTTAACTGGAGATGCGAGGGTTAGTCAAAACGTTTTAGGCCCAACATAGACGACGAACTCTTTGGTCACATTTTATTATTTTATTTTTCCGCATAATCAGTACTCGTTTACAGCAGCTTTCAGTATCTACACAGCATGTTCCACGGATATGTTCTTTCAATTTTTGAAAAAGGTGGCAGTCACTTGGAGTTAAGTCATGTGATTATGGAGGATAAGGAAGCTGATGTACAGCATCCCTTGTAAGTAGGGAGGTGTTATACGAGGCATTATCATGTTAAGTCAGAACTCCAGCCCTCAATATACCATGGCTCTTCTCTTTGATAGAAGCCCTCAATCTGTTGAGTAACACAGAATAGTAGGTACCAGCTTCTGGCTCTCCAGGTAATGAACATGGATGATACCCTCCACATCCCAGAACACAGAGGCCATAACTTTCTTCACTGACCTTGAAGATTTGAACTTGGAGAGGATGAGAAGTGTGGTGGAGAAGTGTGGTGGTGCCACTCCATGGTTTGACGTTTTGACTCCGGATCGAAATGACAGATCCATGTCTCATCCCCTGTCACTAATCTACTTTTATTATCATCAAAATCTTGCTCAATCAATTCTAAATGTTCCTTTGAAATATCTTTTTTCTTCAAATAGGCATTAAGACACTTGGGGACCCATAACGCGGATATCTTGTTCATGAACAAATGGTCATGAATAATAGTGTGAATTGATCCTTGGCTAAGACTTGTTTCTCGTTCAAGTTCTGCAATAGTCACACGTAGGTATGCAAGAATACATTTGTCCAAAGCCTTTACTGAGATTCAATCTTCATTAATGGCTGTTGAGGGACGTGCACCCCTGCGGTCATCATCTATGCTCTTCCTGCAGCCCATCGCGCTTAACAATGGAATATGAAGGACAATCATCCCCATACACCTTCAGCAAACATGCATGCACCTCCGATGGAGAACAACCTTTCAGAGTCAAGAACTTGATAGCAGCACGATGCTCATTCTCTCCTATTACAGTAGAACTATACTGGCCCCTATATGTTTCAGGGACCTGTTGCGTTCACTCGAGTTGATCAATGGAATAAAATACATTGAAATGTTTTTATCTGATCTATTAAGTGCAAAAGATTTAAAAACTCCAGATGCATAGAAGTTATGTAGGCCTAGAACTCTTTGACCAGCCCTCGTAACAACGGTTAGTGAAATAATTTGACTTGTTTCATTGCATATAAATAACCTTGTTACAAAATTGTTACGAATACAACCTTTTGTATTTTCCTAAGAAACGAAAAGTACTTCTTACTTTTGTGAAATTTAATAGCAAATTACATTAGATGTTTTAAAGCAATTCACAGTAATTGCACAATAGAGGTATCTGTATCGGGGCATACGATTTACCAAAATGAAAGTATATATTTAGTCACGATTCTTTTATTTTTTAGAAACTCAGTCACTGGGAAAACTCCTAGCGTTTGTGACTGGTCTGGACGAAGTCCCACCCTTGGGCTTCTGGCCCCAACTGAGACTGGAGTTCTCCCATCCAGGGATCGACTCCTACGACGGCACACCATATGCCAACACATGTGCCAATTCACTGAGGGTCCCAGTGCTTCAAGTATACCAGTCCTTCAAGGAAGTGATGATGCTTTCCTTGGAAGTTGGAACTGTCTTCACGAACGCATAATTTGTGAGAGAGAAAACTCTTAGTTAAGATTATTATTTGGTTACATTAATCATAAGAATATTCTTAAATCATGAAAAGATTTCTTTGTAACAGGCCAAAGTATACCCTAGACCAAACTATGCCCAGGGTTAAAACGGCCTAGGCTAGAATGTACCCTGGGTATATTATGTCCTAGGCCAATTTATACTCCGGGGACCAATTCATACCTCACAGGACAGATTATACCCCCCAGTATAGCCCAGCTAAGATATACCTGGGTTAAGGTGACCTGACCTTGGCCTGACTCCCATCCACTTTTCCCAGGTCAGAAGATTATACCCCTATGATGTCAGAAGTGTTTATTATACAGACTTTTATTACTTCAACCAGGGAAGCCACAATCAATAAAAGATCAAAGATCACTACTACACTTATCAGTAGTGTTTACACATTAAATATAAAAATATTCCTCAAACAACGTAAGACAACTGTGAAAAAAGTTCATAATGTATAATGTGCTGGAACTTCAGATTCCAAGTCCTCACTACTGTATATGTAAAATACAAAGTTTAACGCTGATAACAATATCAAAATGATCATGATCACAACCCAACATTCTGTGTGGCAGTGATGGCAGATTGTGCATCTGCTGGGAATACTTCTGTGGTGTTGCAGTGTAAAACATAAAAAGTTGTGCATTAAGTTGTTCTTCCAGAGTTGTCAAAGGTGTACAACTGTAGGAGTTTGGTGCCAAACACTACTGTCTGTCTGTGTGTTGAACTGAGCACACTGTCACCATACATTTGATTGCATCATTGCTATTTCTGTCTACTTTCGCTTCCTGGCTGTGTAACAGCAAGATGTTTTTCATTGTAATACAATTAAGTTCATAAGTGGCATTTGTCATCTCGTGAAATACAATGACGTTTGAATGAGACTAAATGCAACTATCATAGCATTTTATCAAAAACTGTATTAACCTTTTCCCCAATAGAATTTAGCTGTTAATATGTTGATCCGTAAGACTGTGATACAAAGGACAGTAGATATGGTAGATTTACAGGGTTTTTGTTGTAGTGTTACATGTTTATAAAAATACAATAATGTGCCATACCAAATGTGCCCAGTTGTAAACATGAAGGAGTAAATATACTGTGTAAATACTGTCACAACCTTATATAGTATACTCTGACCTGGAGGGGCATAGTCTAGCCTAGGCTGTTTTACACACCGGGTATAGTTTGGCATAGGGCAGTGTATTTCATGGGTATACTCTGGTCTGGGCCAAACTATACCCGGGTTTAATGTGGAAGGGGCTAATGTGGCCTGTTACACCTGTGTATATAAACACATAAAAATCGTCATGATTTAAATACAACGTGAAGTGGAATTGGATGTATGTTCTCCAAATTCATTTTATCTTTCATTTGGTGTGATTATGTGTGCTAAAGTAGCATTGACGATACTCTCCCAGCTTATGGTTGGTTTGCGAGTCCTTTTAAGTTCATTTTACTGTGACAGAAAATAAGGTCACATGATAACACACATATTATAAGTTGTATTTTACAAGTTTACGTTTTACGGAATACCTCCTACATTTTACAGTTAAAAGTGTAGTGTTAATATTGTGTATCGGCTCCTGGGTTAGGAAACCTATCTGAACAGATATGATGTTCTATTCAATAGATGTTGCATAGGTATTGAAACATTCAACTTCCAAACTGTATGTATCGTACTTTAAAGGTCGAAAAGGATATGTTCATTGTTTTACCAGGATATCATAATTGGTCTTTCTTAAACACAAGTAAAAAGTGTCTCACTGGAAATGCTAATGTGAATGTGGCGGTTGTTGCTTATCGTGCAATATATTAAAGTACACACGCATTAATATTGTTTTTGTTTTTATTGGGTCAAATGATGAGAGTCCTGCATAACAAAAAATGGTATGTTGACTTTATGTTTTACCATATATGACTCGATATTACACAAAGAAATGAAAGATATCGAGTTAGTTTCCCAATTTCTGAAGTAACCAATTGTAAAGTTCAAGTCCTTCATGTGCTGTTTGAGGCATATGTCTCCCAAACTGATGGATCAGTACACGGCACAGATTATTGAACTCTGGTGAGCATCCTCTGTCAAGGGGTCGAGTGGTTGTTAACAGTTCAGCTGCCCTGATGTCGTCAACCGACGCCGGGAATTTATAATCATGTGTTCCTTAAAATAAAAGCAAAATTGTCTGTGTATATATTTCGAAATATTAACTAAATATATTTAAGTCAACCTACAAATTAGAGTAGTATCAGATACAACTTCCACAACATCCCTCTTCAAATATTGAAACAAATATTTAGAACACCTGTTTGACCTAAGAAGTTTTCACAGTTCTAGTTCAGCACCCGTATTGTCAGACAGTTAATGTTAAATTTTAACGTAATTCAACACTGTCCTACCATATACTTCCGGCATGAAGAACATGATGTCTGGCTTCCCATGGGGACTCTCAGCGATACGCATCCTTCTTACCCTGTGCTGATTCCAGTCAATGGAAATGTGGTTCAGTTCCTCTTGAATTAGATCAGTGAAACAGAACCTTAAGCATTCACTGAAATAAAGTTAAAAATTCTACTTTGTAAAGTTTTACATGGATTTTCTTTTAGGATTGATTTTGTTAAAAGACTTGTTAGAAACCTACTATTTCAATTTATAATATATGCAAATGGACAGAAAAATAAGACATATATGTTACACAGATTTCTAAACAAATTGTTATGGGCGATACGTCTTCAGCCTCGTCAGTTATTTATATTTTTATTTATATTAATTAACTATTCGTATTCATAATTCATTTTGCGTACATGTGCAAACGGTTGGATGTAATGACACAGCCTTCCTGAACTTTGTCCTTGAAGAGGTCGATCCAGTAGGCTATCCCTCCACAACGCTGTGTTCTCCACCATCGTTCAATCCTCTTGGGACAGAAAGAAAGCGCATAAAATACATAGCTTGTATCGAAAGCTGAAACATTTACAGGTTGTACTCAGTTAAACGTATTCACCAGAAACACAGAACAAATAACTTCTCACGCACAATTGACAATTATAATGTCGCACTTTACAGATACTACTATAATTATTTCAATGATCAAATACAAAACTTACAACCAGCTAAAACCCCAAACCCTCGTCATTATGTAGTGAAAGAAGGTGTCTGAACAATTTATGTTATTGTTCACTCTACATTCTGAGCTAACGTTCTTGCATCTTAACAATATTATGCAACTTGTTGTATTTCATTCCTTTAAAAGCTCACTTTTCACTGCAACATACACATTACTCACCTAATTTTGACGAATTTATATGCTTGATTTTAGTAATCTTTGACACGATATGCCCACTTGTACATTGATTAAAATACCACAACACAACAAGCATTTTTAGCAAAATACATACGTGTTACAACAGATTGCTGTTGTCGAGTGTGTTACTTTTCAAGTTATAACAGTGTAATATGAAATGTAAATAACGACTATTCCAATTTAAAGATATGATTACATTTAACCACACATAAACACAGGCATGTACCTCTGCTTGTTTTACGTTATGGTAAATCCGTATTATTAATTACTGGTAGCTGAAACAAATTGTCAGTTGGGGTTGCGGATGTCTGCCTGTTTCATAAACGTTCATTAACCTGGTTTGTGTGGGATGATCCTGTGATCACACTCCGGTCTCCACATCTTTCATCCCCGTGGAACCAACGAAACGCCTTTTGTATATTTTCAACTACACCATTCTCTGTCCCTTCGTCCATCTTGATACACCTTGGTACACCTGCATAGTAGTGTCAGACGGTATGAGACAACTAAAACATGGGCTATGTGAGAAATCAAGTTGACAAAGAGACTTTGTAACTGCTAACATTTATCCAAAATAGCAAAATAAATCACGAAGGCAACATCCTCAACAATAGAAGTCACCACCAAACCTGATGTTTCTATATATTTTTAAAACAAATTGTTAAAAACATTTCCATAGAGCTCTACTTGTTCAAACTATGGCCACCTTTTTTACCTTGTATCTCTTTCAGGTAGTCCAAAAAATAGGAAGCAATGACCCCTGGGTCGTTGTTTGTGTTTGACACCCTCAACCAAAGGATTCGTCTTGAGTAACTTAAAACAGAAGTGAATTCATTTACTGTGAGAGAACTAATGAAACAATGTTATTTTGTTGTTATCTTGACACAGGTTGAGGTTTAAACAATATTGTCTACAAACTTTACACATAATTGCGGATAATTGAAAATAGGATATATGTTCTCACCCATCCATGCATCCATGAATCGCAAAACCATAGGGCTTCAGTTTATCATATCCATCAAGATGGATCAAAAAGTTTGGCCCCGCATTGCGATAAACCCGCCTTGAAAGCCGATGGTACCTTCGAAGTTGCACCCCTTCAGGATCCAATTCATGCTGAATTTGGAGAACGGCATCCCTGATAAAGATAAGAACTGTAAGTACGTCATGGTACATATTCACAGAATTTCTGATACAAAACGTATGCATTTGAGTTGTTTGTATGTTGTGCTCAGAAGATGTCATTGAGGCTAACACGTGTATGTATTCTGAACAGCGAAGAAATAACGACATGCTCCAGTTCAAGATACAGAAGTATCATGTTAAATGTTTATTACATATCATCATTTGATTACGTACAGTAACTTTTATTCATGTAAAGCTTTCCTGTTACAGAACAACGTATTTCTAGTTCATTTAATTGACGTCCTACCTACCTCCAACTCCTAATTTCAAACATGTACTTTTTAATCACTACGAGTCCATGTAACATACTTTAATGACTACGAGTCCATGTAACACACTTTAATCACTACGAGTCCATGTAACACACTTTAATCACTACGAGTCCATGTAACACACTTTAATGACTACGAGTCCATGTAACACACTGTAATGACTACGAGTCCATGTAACACACTTTAATCACTACGAGTCCATGTAACACTAACACTACGAGTCCATTTAACGTTCACTTAACGTTCACTGTTATACAAGTTAGGGTTATTTTAAACTTGACACTAACAATAACAATTATTTTACAAAAGTACAGTGGGAAATAGGAAAAATACTTTTTGTTTTCACATTTATATCTACAATTGATGTAGTTACTATATATGAACGTGTTAAATATCTGTTAAACTAAGTTCGGCCTAACTACATTCACATATAGGGAGATAGGAAACGTGAAAAAAGGACTTTGCTGAGGAGTGATTAGTGCAGAAAGTCCAAAGCGACGTGTATATGGGACAGACCATGGCTTTATGCAAATTAGTGTGCGATGATATTGTATTACAAAAAACGATTTTTAAATGCCCATTTTGAAATTAGACTTAGCTTCATTAGAAACGATAGCTGACGTAAAAATAATAACGTTAATGCTGAAACTATTAAGGGTGTAGCTACCACGGAGTCTCACTATCACTATGTTTCACACTGTGTTGTGTGCAATCATGACTTGATATGACAGGGTATATCATAGAACTAGTGCAGTCCTGTGCCTGCTATATGGGAAGGTGTATTTAGTAGTAAATAAAAATAGTCCAAGAGCCCGGAGGTGATTTTTGTACCGAGAGAGGCCAAAAAGGTTTGAACATGATTTCTGATGTAAAATTGCCTCACGAATCCAAAAAATCAGTCTTAAAATCAAAGCTGTGGCTTTAGCCCATATACCATTCACGTGTGTGTCATTGATGGAATGTTTGTCATGCAGTCTCTTTCAAACCCTCCTTCAAGATATGAAGACATTGCTAAGTTCATCCTGCAGATACTCTGCAAACATGGAACCCGAGTAGAATTTGTGTGTGACACTTATGCAAGTCCATCAATAAAGGACACTGAGTGAAGACAGCGTGGAGCTTCTGCAGAAGGCACTGTGGTCAGTGGTCCAGGTCAGAACAGGCATTCCAAATTAACAAATGCATTGATGTTTTAATTCATACTTCTTCCGATTTTTGGCAGATGAATGGAGAGGTAACATTTTAGACTCCATAAGACTTTACTTGAAGATACATGTTGTGTGTTTACCGCTAATCAAGGAACTGTTGTGGGGACTGTTATTCCTCAATTTCAATATACACCTGATATTCAACTTGTATGGTATGAGTGTGTTTTTAGTTTTACTCCACTTTTAGCAGTATTCCAGCAATATCACGGCGGGTGACACCGGAAATGTTCTTCACAGATTGTACCCATGTGGGAATCAAACTCGGATCTTTGAGCGAAAAACACATATTTACCCCACCGTCCCTTTATGGTGTGAAGGACCACATGTACTTAAATGCATCACAAGACAAACGAGTAGCTTTTTTCAGACCCTGAAGAATCAGATGAGGTTGATGCTGGAGGAGGTGACACTGACTCTTATACTGATGATGAGTATGATCTGTGATGAGGTAGCCCATGCATTCAGAAATACAAAAATATGAATGTGAGAAGTCTCATTAACGGTTTTGATTACTATTACAGAATAAAGTGACAATGGTACAATTGTCTCTCCTTTTTAGCAGAGACTTGTAATGGATGTGGAAAGGGTTTTGTCGCTTCTATCTTCTATAACGTCAGCTGGTGTGTGTGGGTGCATGCGTGTGTGTTTTACTTGCCTGATGACCTGTGTTGTATCATGAAGAAATTTTGCTGATTTATTCCACTTTAAAAAGTGTCTTATTTCGTGTACGAACACTCAAAAGCAATTTCTAACTATTTCTGAAAACCGTATTTACAGTGATTAAGAAATTAAGTGATTTTGTAGAATTACCCTTACCTTTTCTTTCTTAGATAAAACACTAGCCTTTGATTTGTAAGACTGAAATGTTTGGATTCGTGAGGCAATTAGAATACAAGTTCAAACTTTTTTGGCCTCTCTGGGTACAAAAATCACCCCCGGGCTCTTGGACTATAAAACAAACAGGTAGGAGGGGTTGTGAATGCAGATTTTGTTTTCAATACTAATTGCAAATTGTTTTCATAATTTTCTTTTCCAAAATAGTTTTCTGTGATTACATTTCAATTATATTCTAACAAGTTACCCCAAAATAAAGAAGGAATTTCATTTGCCTTTTCATGTAATTCATTTTCATAAGAGCCTAGCAGAAAGTTTAGAGAGGTGCTTGAGCATTGTTTGGTCATGTGACCAAAAAGCATGTGCAGTTCATGTAATCCAGCCACATGGCACAACAGTTGAAAGCCTCATGATGTACAGATGTGTAAATGTTGACAAGATTGTTGGAACACAGATGTACGTTTATTTTAAGTATATTTGAGGTTATGTTTCAATTGTTAAGGTATTTGAGTAATGACGTATTTTGTAAATAGTTTTGATCATGCTCATGCTTATTGAATAGGATTTGATTGCAGAAAAATTCTATTCTAATTTCATGTTTTCATTTGAATTATTATTCAGCCACAATAACTTCTAACCTAGCAGTAATTATGCCTAAACGTTCTGCTGCTGTAAGTAATTAATTTGCTTGAGAAACTGTTTTAATGGTACCCTTTGTAAAAGCATATTTAGTAAGGTATCTGTTGTTTCTTTTCTAGTTTCTGAACCTCGCCATTTAATAAACGTTGGTATACAGGCTAATGGAAGAGACCAGCTTAAATGTTACCATAATTCATGGATTTGTGGAGTATTGTGCTGACAGTTTCTAACCGTCCCTTGACATGTGGACTTTAATGTCGTCAAGATTATATTGCCAAACTGTCACCAGTACATCCAAAAGCCACAACGTTAACGATGGAAATATGGAATGAACATGACAACTATGCCTTGTACTGAATAAACTTTATATTAAATGGTGTGAGTCTTTCGGATCTGTAGTTCTGGCATAAACAGGGGTGGTGTCAAAAGCAAAACCAAGACGCAAACACAAATTGGATAGCTTTGATAAGGGGATCATAAGGAGAGTAGTATATAAGTTGTATGACAGGAAGATACCACCAACCTTCGTACCATCAGGGAAGAGATCAATGATACCATTAATGTATCTAGAACAACTCTTGTAACTGCTTTCAATGAAATGGGGTTTAGTTATAAACTTACTTCTTAATGTTTTAATCTTATATTCTATACATTTTATGCACATATTGTCTAGTGTGACTCATTGGCCATCTGGCCTGGTGTCTGTATTTTTCTATGTCTTTTTACCGTTGCCATTTTTTTGACATGTACATTCATGTGACACATAAATAAACTATTTTGTCTGTCTGTCTGTCTGTCTGTCTGTCTGTCTATAAAGCAAGCGAAGATGATCGTGGAGTGTTTCGTGAAAAGTATTCAATACACTCTCAGGTGAAACTATCTCAGAAGCATCGCCGCATACAAGGAGTTGGGTTTTCAGATAGTATACCTTCATGCGACCTGGGTGAACAAGATTCACTATGCGCATTACATGTGGCTACCGCCAGATGGTACATGCAACAACCATTCCATACGGTATTGCTTCACGCTTGTAAACGACTCTGGCCTCACTGACGGGTGCGAACTCATCTTTGAGGCCAAATCCTCATCTGATGATTATCACCAGGAGATGAACGGTGAGATGTTCCTTGAGTGGATGGAACATAAGCTCCTACCCCGTCTGGACAACCCTTGCGTAGTGGCATTTAGAAGCTGGCATGATGAAGTGGAACACTTTTTTATGGATAGACAACGTCTTTGTTGCAGTAGTAGTTGCCACAATCATTTCCTATCCCAACATTTCTCATGTCAACACCGTACATCAACATCTTCTATTGTATAAACCAATACCCGTCATGTACATGTATATATTTCTCCTTGTGCAAAATGTATGTTTCATTTGCTTGATAACGGTGTTAGGGTCTACACCGAAACGTCGCAACTACTACTGCAACAAAGAAGTTGTCTATCCATAAAAAGGTGTTCCACTTTACCGTAAACAGTGACTCCCACTATGAGTTACCGAAAGGCTCAAATGCAAGAACATAACTTATTAATTATATGTTGAGAGGGTGTTGCAGACGGTGCTTGGGTTCGGGCTGGGGGATAAAGATATTAGATAAGATAATCATGTAGGGGAATTAAACTGGGGCATGTCATAACACTGACTGACTGACTGAGTTTAGTTTTACGCCGCTTTTAGCAATATTCCAGCAATATCACGGCGGGGGACACCAGAAATGGGCTTACCACATTGAGCCCATGTGGGGAATCGAACCCGGGTCTTCGGCGTGACGAGCCAACGATTTAACCACTAGGCTACCCCACCGCCCCTGCATGTCATAACAATTTCCAATTTACACATAAAATGTTAAAATAAAAAGATGAGACATATTCAACACACATGAAAAAGCATAAAATGTCTTTTAGATGCCCCCTGGTGCTGGTGTCTTTGAGATGACCTCTGATCTATTGTTTTCAGCATCTATTCGTGCCATTTTACGAGTAAACATGCTTTTCCGGATATGATATTATGCATCCCACTGACCCAGTGTTCATTCTAGGCCGCGCCCATTTAAAATGTCGCACTGTACAGGTATGGGCGGATGGTGTAGGTGCATCCATAAATGCAAATATGAAACGCATGACGAGTTTGCTTTGGCCTGGCAAGTACGTCGTTGAAAAACAACAATACACCTATTCTCGCCGAAATGTGTTTAAGTTCTCTGGATTCAGCTCATGACGTGTTTAGAATAATTGTGCAAAATATGCAAATGTAATAAGAAAACACAAGGCGCTTAGTAAAATTGGTTGAGATAGATGAGTGAACCCATCGGTTTGCATGTTGAAGTTTCACTTTTGTTGCCATGGAGTAGACATGAGCTCTAAAACGCCGATATCAGTCTGAACATGCTTTGAACTCGTGTTTGGTTTCGAAAAAAATATGATGTTCCATCTTTGCCAGTGGCTATCATTCACATTAGCAGCAAATCGTAAGATGTGCATTACCCACCAAATACACACTGTTTATGGGGTATGGTTAAGTTCAGGTTGAGAATTTGTAACTAGTAAGGTGATCTACCTTCAGTTGTTGTCGGGGCGGGTGGGGTAGCCTACTGGTTATTTAAGCGTTAGCTCGTTGCGCCGAAGACACGGGTTCGAATGCCCTCATGGGTATAAATGTGTGAAGCCCATTTCTAGTGTCCCCCACCGTGATATTGCTGGAATATTACCAAAAGCGGCCTAAAACTAAACTCACTCACTCAGATGTTGGCGATTTATAGCCTGTTTTTATGTTCAATAGTATTAATAGTAAGAAAGTTATACATTACAAACTAGTTTTATATTCATACCTGTGATCTTCTAGTGTTTTCTACTGTGCTTTGTTGACATTTTTTTTATTCAACTCTGTATTTCTCATGTATTTAGAACTTGTTTTAGTCACGATTTGTCTGAAATATTGCCGATGTGACTTAAAATTTTAACACACACTCACTTAAACACAATAATTGTAAAGTATGCCATTAACCTTAAACATAATACCACAACATTACATACAACTATACATGAAAAGGATGAAGTGTCCAGTTGTTTTCAAAGTTTCAGGTGGAAAACTCAGACTGCCAGCTAGTTTAAGATAACTATTCAATCAGTGTTGGAATGTTAGGTTGAGTTGTCAATGAATATAGATATTGGGTCCATTTATAGTTTTATTATTTATTCATATTTTTCAAATACTTTTTGATGTCAACTGTTTATTAATGTGTTGAAAACGGTTTCTCGTGTTGATCTCACCTGGATTGAAAGTTTAAAGAAGGAAGTGAACTCATACCAGTAACTAGTAGCGTATGGCTAAAACGTTAAATCAATTTGACATGACCCACAATATTTTCTAAATGACATAACTAGGGGCTTTTTAGAAATGCTGGAATGCACACTGCTGAACGCCCAGTTAGGCCGATGTGGGTTATTTTGACATATGCTATTTGTACTGTGTAAATTCTTGGGATACAGAGTAGGCCTAAAATCAGTTGTTTTCTATTTCCGACAGTACTTTACCTATCATGTCTAGTGCCACATATAGAATACCCTCGTTCATTTATAAACTTAACGTGTTTGAGGACGTCCACTACAGATCGGTTGTGCGCCCTCATTGCAACACCTTGCCTATCATCACCAGAGTTGCTGTTAACCACGGATATATACATGCGTGTGTAAACTAATTGGCAAGCTAACGAAATACTTTTCTACATCAGAGAAAAAATGTGAATGTTATCAATACAATGATTGAACAAATGAACAAGATATCACCTGGATGCTTGAATGTTGTGCCTTGAGAGAAGTCTTCTTGACATACTGCGACACCCAAGATATGCACCACTCTCTGATAATTCATACTGCAATAACAGAAGTCATGTGAAAATGGAAGCATTACACATGAAATTGACATAACCATTATCATTATTATAGTTAAAATGTAATGTGCAGCAGAGCAGGATCTTGTGATCCTGACACAGTCAGGCTGCTTAGGCTCATCATCAGGGCCCTCACCCCCTCCATATCATCGTCATCATCCTCATTCCCATTTTGATACAATGTTGTTTTAACTGTTTTCAGATTTCACCAGGTACTCGGCCTGTTTTGAGGTGTTAAGTTTTCAAAACTAACGCTCAGTGGAGGTCAACCTCGTAGGCGACCAACTCATGAGTTAAATGTGTTGGTAATTATCTCTAAATTCAGGAAATGAAAATGACACACTATGATGCAATGTCATTTGCACTTATAAGTCTAAGAATCCTTATTCCACTCATGCTAGTGAAATATACATTAAAGTCATTGTGTTCTGATGCATATGCCAACTAAGTGGGTGAAAGAAAGGAATAGGCTCCGAGTTTTTCACTGAGTAATGAATATGCAGGACGACAAGTTAAAACTCGGAGCCTATTTCTTTCTGGGTATCATTGTCATGAAAACGATACTAAGACAATGATAGAATTTACAAATTCTTTTTACATCCAAATAGATAAAAAAAAGAGTTTACATCGCCGTCTATAGTTGTGTTATGGATATACTTACTTTGTTGAACTGTATAATTCTAGTACTAAAACCTTTTGAATTTCACTGCCTCTTTCTCCGTACCTGAACAGCAGCAACAAGTTCTTCCATATGTACATGTCTTCGAATGCTACGCTGAGTCATGATGCGATTCAAATGACGAATACTGAAAAACGTTTACATTATTTTGAAAGGAACACCCTGATCCTCATAAAGGATCCACTGGTTTTATTTGAAGAGCAAAATACGTAAATTTATATGTGATATTGATATGTTGATAGTAGTTATATTTTCATCTATTACAGATGGGCAGAGTACATAATGATCTTTATGTCGAGGTTTTATTCCATACTTCCTATGAACAATGACTCATTGTAAGTAGAAAACGTATGACAAGTTTGAATCATAACAACCATGTTAAGTATGCATATTTATTACGTTTACATATAATGAACCACTAAATCTATTCTTAAGTATTGCCACATACCTGAGATTTATACCATGTCTGAGGTAAAGCAGTGCACAGATTTCGATTTGGGTGAAGCCAGCTGTGTAATACTCTCTGATCAGCTCTTCTCCTGTTAACATGAATTTTGTTTGAAAAAATAAAGAAATTCAAAATGCACAAACCGAGTATTGTTATTGACATGATGTGTGTGAATATTAATTTGTTGTTTTTTTACGGCACAAACCAACACTATTTCCAAGCTCATTAAAAGTCTGCGTTGGATTAACTTATTTCTTGTTGTGGAGCACAGTGGTGTAGTGGTTAGCATGCTGGAGACACCAAACATTTGTGACCTGGGTATCATTCTGTGTTGTGTCTCTGGGCAAGGCAATTCATCCACAGAATGCAGCCTTGCGTTGGATCCAAGGCGCAAAAATTAGCATTATTATTATTATTTATCAGAGAACATTGTAGTTTATCATATTAATTTCATAATGTAAAAATAGAAGAATATGACTGCTTTTTTCAAACTTAACATTCAGTAAATGAAACACAAATAATTAATACTTAAATATCACGAAAGAATAAAATAGAAACCTACTTGTTTTTCGTGGCCCAGCGGAAATCATGGATAGCGATGTGTAGCCTGTAGGTGGCATAGTTCGCTGCGTATCAAAGACAAGCAGAGGTACTGAATTTCCAAAAGGTGACTAAAACACCACATTAATATACACATGAACTAATATTCAGATTAATGTACAGTTACAAAATAACTCATTAATTCATAAAGATGCTGAAAAGAATCTCAAAGATAGATACCTTGACAAGTTCGAAATACTGTTGACACAAATGGCGGCTGTTCAAAACACGCATGTGCATAAATATACCACGCATGCGTATACTGTCGCAATAACGGACAAAACCATTACACACGATGTGACATGTAGTGCGACGTCGCCCGCTATTTTTGTCGCCATAAATAAGAAAAAATATGCTATAAAGCGACGTCGCGCAAGACGTAGCGTTTTTTAATGCGACGTCGCCCACGACGTCGCCCACGACGTCGTTCTTTTTTTACGCGCCACGCGATGGCAATTATAGGACACCATAGATAACTCCATCAAAATATGACTACGCATTCAAATCAGGCTATCCAAAAGACGTAAATACTTTGTAAAGTGTTTTGTTTGTAACTTATCAGTTAGCCTGTAATATTTTTGAAGAGGTATAATATCTAGTCACGTGTACGACCAAACGGACTAGTAAATAACACTTTATGTAATCCCAATTAAATATAGAATTGTTTAAGTGATGCATTTGGTTTATGTGTTCAAGAAATCAAGAAATGATTAAATTAGATTTAATGTCAATCGTTACACATTTTATGAATGCGTAATTGCAAATATGATTCAGGAAGGGTAACCGCGCCGCAGTTAAGCGAGGATATATACACAGTCATCGGCTTTGGTCCTTGCATACATTGTATAACAACTGGTAGTCAGTTAAAGATGTCAACAGGCACCCACAACGTGTTGATTATATGGTCTTTGGGCGAAAAACAAGTTAGCGATTGGTAAGAGGCTCTGAATGATATTATCAGAACACAAACTGATTAGATTGAGATTGAGAAACACGCCTAGACAAACCTTGTCCCAGCTCAGATCGTGTATATCGCATTCATCCAGACACTTGTGTAAATGTCACATTTTGTTCTCGTCACTGCATTGCTGACATATTGACGTCAAATTTTAACTCATCCATTACATCGATGCACTTGGATTACGAGAGCAGGTTGTCCATGTCAGGTGAACAACGAGGTTATTCAGTAGTCCATGTGATATAAACACAGCCAATCAATGTCATCATGTCATGAATATCACGGGCAATTCCCGTGCTGCACGTGCCAGATATAACACTGCAGCGGGAAGTGTGAGCTGCTGTTTGGACGAGGCAGGAAGAACGTTCTATGACTGTCAGTGGCCTTAACACATGTTTTGTATTTGTTGCACCATCATTAATCATACAAAATATAATTTCAATTCAATATCCAATAAGAAGACAAAGTGATCAATATCCCTCGCAATAGAGAAATTCTCTTCATGAATACATGTATGTCAACTACTGGCAAACAAGGATAAGTTGAGCACCGCCCTGACAATTGACCCGTATTAGCATGTATGAGTGCCGCCCACTGGCGCTTGCCATTGTTAGCGAAGGGGCCCCAGGTTGTCCGCGATCAAGTGTAGTGCGACTTGCTACACCGACGTGAGAGTCTTATGAGCAAGGCGTGTGCAGCTACGTGCGGAATCAATTTCATCGTCATGCAATGCACATGCACTAGCCAACATCTGCTCTACCTTTCACAAACCAAATAGGTTTGCTCGCTGCCGTGCACCGCCTACTCCTCGTAAACGCGTTCTCTGCGCCGGTCCAACTTATCCTTGTTTGCCAGTAGTTAGACTATGTCAAATGTTTTGGCATGTACATGTATATAGCAAAGTTGAAGAAAGGTATTGAACGGTTTTCAAATTTTCAGAAGTGAAACTTGTTGCCATGGAAATGCGAAAACATATTTTATTCGGAAAACGTGTGTTGTTGATGATGCTGATGGTGGTTTATGTCGATGACACCCAGTATCCAAAATCAACGCGGCAGACCACCCGATTCGTTTCAGATGATTCTCATAACAAGTATATTCGGGACCATTGCTTACCCGGAATCGCTAAGAGGTCATTTGTCTTTTGCACAAGGAGACATGAACGTCACTAAAAACATTTCGGCATTTATAAAGTTGAGGGAGTACGAGGCGGACCAGTCGTCAAAGTTGCCACAGGTAGCAAGTCAGAGTTGCTTCCCCCCAGACACACCACAGATCGATGATTGTTTGAGGTTGCCTCGATTGAGTTTCCAATTTTGAAACCTTTGGGACTGTTCATTATTCATGGCTAGGGGACTGATGATGATTATTATGGAGAAGCGTGTACAATGTGAAAAATCCCACCCACCCACAAAGAAAAAAAGTATCTATGTACAAAATACTATACCCACTGAAGGTCATGTACAACTCTTCCCATAATTTACATGGGTGCAGACTTGCAGGCCCTCTGCCTCTCCAGAGCAAACTGGGTGATCTCCCTTAAAATCATCATCATACATGGTAATTTCCTTGCGAAAATAAAAAATGTTCAGTGAAACTTTGTAAAATACTACTACGTCCAACAAACAGAATCAAAATATTCCTGGAGTATTTATACAGTGTATAGAATAATGCTCATAATTGTTACACGACCAAAATGCCAATATATTAAATACGAAAAAGACAGCCATAGTCCTAAGCGGAACAAGAAACAGTTCCTCCCAACAACGCGTCCAGGTGCCATAATTTGTGTGCCAACCTTGAGATGGAGTACTTTGCATTTGACTTTGGACACCACCAAAAGATCAGCTTGAGGAGGATTTCCAGGAACTCTGCCAAGGTGAGAACAGAAGCACACACTCATTGTACCAACAGCAGACAGGAAGCGCTCAGTCTGGAACAGAAAATGTATCTATGCAAAGGCTGTTCTGGCTGCTTATAATGTCCTTCCATCAGCTGTGAATCAACAAGATTTACATCCCCACAAGAAACCTATGGTAGTGGGTTTGACTCTCATCAGGTTTGTCATCTCCATACAGGGGCGGTGGGGTAGCATGTTGGGTAAGGCATTGTCTTTTCACTCCGAAGACCAGGGTTCGATCCCCCTGCAACGTGTGAAGCCCATTTTCGGAGTCCCTCGTAGTGATATTGCTCCAATATGGCTAAAATCGGCATAAAACTAAACTCACTCACCCTGTCATCTCAATACCCGTACTGATGAATTTCAGTGGCGTGTCTTGATATCCAAATTCGCCCTATTTTTTCCTGTCTTAAGCCAGCTGCCCTACTGCATCAACGTAACATGCCCTTCTATGGATGGCACTGTATTGCTTATATACACCTCTCTCAAAGACTACATACATGCCCGTTTCAAAGAGACGTGAATTGGCCCAGTGGTTAAATCATTCAGCTCGTCGAACCATTAATCCGAATACAGCAAGAAGAATAACATAAACAAATTTAATGTCATTTTAGGCTCTATCTTCAATCCACGATGTGATTGTTTAACGAACATCATACTTTATCTGGATAATATACTATATTATTAAAAAAATGTAGAGGAACTTCATTTTTGATTTACGATTGAAAACATTGGGGGACATATCGGAGTCAATCAATGTTGATATGGTATTAATGAATGTTTTCAGAGTGCATCGCCACTTGCACTTCCTTATAACCATAGTTGTTTTTACGGTAATCGCTCTTGAAAGATAATCGGTGTATGACATGAAATTTGAATGTGTACGAATTTCATTTTCAAACAAGAACAAATGTGTACGAATTTCATTTTCAAACAAGAACAAACGGGTAGAAACAAACACTAACAACTGGGTGATGCAAGATGATCGCCAAATGGCCTACAGTTAATTATTGAAAACTGTGAAAATCACGTGTGTGTGGGGGTGGGGGTGGGGGTGCTATTGTGTTATACACATGCGTTGTGTTAGGTGTGGCAATAAAGAGAAATGGTCGTGCGTTTATAAGATTTCTAAGCTTGTTAACGCTTTTACTTAATATACAAATTGAAAATTCAGGTTCTCCGACTTTTTGAAGGGCATGTAGAAACGTCGTAATATAGGTAATGCCATTTAAGTATCAATGGAGTATTTGAACCGTTTTTTAAATATACACTGGAAGTCAAGTTTGAGGAGAACAATGGCAATCGTTCACTTGTTTTCTTAACACAGCACCTAACGAGAGATCAACGACAACAAGCCATTGGACGTCAACACGGTGGTCAACGTGCTCGAGTCATGCTAATGACTTCAATTGCAGTGTACGAACAATGGAACGTCTTAGACAGCGATACAACGCCACCAGCAACACTGATGACCGTCCACGTAGTGGTCGACCGCGTGTAACAACACGTCGCCGAGGACCGTCATATCCTCCAAGACCGAAACACAGAGCCACAGAAAAAAAAACAACAAGTGAACGATTGCCACTCAAACCGGCAATTTATGCCTGAATGCATGCATGATGCACGTGCATCTCGATTTCAAAAGTTGTTTTTGTGCGAACTCTTCCCTTTCCACAAACAAAAACATTTCTAACCTCAATCTCAAACAATAGTTTATTGGGCAAAACCGGCCATACGACCACGATTCATGTTTTCCTCAAACTTGACTTTCGATGTATAATTAAACAAAATAGATTCAAATACTCCATTGATACTTACATGGCATTTCCAATATTGCGACGTTTCTTTTGCCTTTTCAGTATACATTCGCATCATCAAGATGCCCTATTACAAATGTGGGTGGTCACGCTTAAGACCCGGGTTCGATTCCCCACATGGGTACAATGTGTGACGCATTTTTTCTGGTAACCCCGCCGTGATATTGCTGGAACATTGCTAAAACCGGCGTCAAACTACATTCATTCATTCATGATTACAAATCGTGGTATGTGTGTTTGTTTCGATTATTAGTTGGATAGCCTAATGTTTGCTCGCTATACCAAGACCCAGGTTTGTTTCTCGACATGTGTGACACCTTTCTCACCAGTCAAAATATGGCTGAAA